GGCTTCACCACATGCTGAATATAGAGCCCTAGGGCATTGAGTGAACATAGGCAGCAGCCAGGTAGTGGTTAATGCGAACCTTGGGTGAAAGGCAATCCTGTGCTGGCTTCAGGCATGACCCAGCACAGTCCAGTGGTGGAGGCCAAAGGGCTGTTTGTGCCACCACATCCCCAGCTCTGGGCAGTGCAGCACAGAAAGCAACTGTGTGTGAGAGAGCAAGGGAGGAGAACAAGAGTCTCTGCCTGGCAATCCAGAGAATTCTTCCAGATCTTATCCAAGACCACCAATGTGGTACCTCAACAAGTCTTCAAGAGCCACAACATTACTTGGCTTGGGTGTCCCCTAAGTCAGATATGTCTGCAATAGTTGAAAACTTAGATCACAGCACCAAAGTCCCTTCAAATGCCGACAAAGCCTTCCCAAGAGACAGGTACAAACAAGCCAAGATCACAAAGACTACAATAAATACCTAACTCTTCAATGCCCAGAAACTAAAAAATTTTCAAAAGCATCAAGACCATCTAGAAAAACATGGCCTCATCAGGCAAACTAAATAAGGTACCAGGATTCAATCCCACAAAGACAAATATATATGATCTTTCAGACACAGAATTCAAAATAGTCGTTTTGAAAAAACTCAACAACATTCAAAATAATGCAGAGAAAATTTCAGAATCCTATCATGTAGATTTAACAAAGAGATTGAAATAATTAAAAACCATCAAGCAGATATTCTGGATTTGAAAAATGTAATTGACATACCAAGGAATGCATCAGAGTATCTTAGAGCAGAAGTGATCAAACAGAAGAAAGAATTAGTGAGCGTGAAGACAGGTTATTTGAAAATACACAGAGGAGACAAAAGAAAAAAGTACAAATAGGAATGAGGCATGCCTGCAAGATATATTAAAAGGCTCAAAAGGGCAAATCTAAGAATTATTGGCCTTAAAGAAGAGGTAGAGAGATAGTGATGTAAGTTTATTCAAAGGGATAATAACAAAGAACTTCCCAAATCTAAAGGAAACTGTCAATATTTACCTAAAAGAAGGTTATAGAACACCAAGGAGGTTTAACTCAAAAACTCTCTCAAGGCATTTAATAATCAAATTCCTAACAGCAAGAATAATAAATTAATTATAAATTATAAATGTAGCAAGATAAAAGAAACAAAAAACACACAATGGGGATTGAATACATCTGGCAGCAGCTGGAAATCAATCGATGTGATACATCATTATCAATGGTATGGAGGAAAAAACATGATTATTTCAACTGATGCTCAAAAGCATTTGATAAAATTCAACTCCTTTTCATGATAAAAATCCCTCAAAAAACTGGATATAGAAGAAACATGCCTCAACACAATGGAAGCTTTACAACCCAGGAAAGAGTGGCATGACATATTTAAAGCACTGAAGGAAAAAAACATTTACTGAAGAATAATATATCAGGTGAAAATATCCTTCAAACATGAAGGAGAAATAAATATTTTTCCAGACAAAGAAAATCTGAGAGGTTTATCAGCTTGAAATAATGTTAGAAAATAGTATTTGTAAGCCTCATGGAAATCCTCAAATCAAAAAACATAGCACAGACACAGAAAAAATAAAAAGTACGAAATTAAATCTTACCACCAGAAAAAATAACTTTCATTAAAAGGAAGAAAATAAGGAAGAGGAGATCACAAAACAACCAGAAAACAAACTAAAAATAGCAGGAGTAAGTCCTTATCAATAATAACACTAAATGTAAATGGATTAAATAAAGGGATGGAGGAAGACATTCCATCCCAAAAAAGCCAAAAAAGAGCAGAAGTAGCTACATATATATCACACAAAATGATTGCAAGAAAAAATGCCATAAGAACAGACAAAGAAGGTCATTATATAATGATAAAGTGGGTCAATTCAGCAAAACGTAACCATTATAAGTATATATGCTCCCAACACTAGAACACCCAGATATGTAAAGCAAATACTATTAGAGCTAAAAAGAGACAGAGACCCCAATAGCTGGAGATTTCAACACTCCATTTTCAGCATTGAACAGATCATCCTGACAGAAAATCAGTGAACGGACATCAACTTAATTGGCACTATAGACCAAATGGACCTAATATATATTTAGATAACACTTCATCCAATGGCTAGAGAATACACATTATTCTCTTCAGCAAAAATGAATCTTTTTCAAGGACAGACCACATGTTGGGTTGCAAAGCAAGCTGAAAACATTTTTTAAAATTCAAATACTATCAAGAATATTCTTTGACCACAATGGAATAAAAGTTGCAATCAATGGAAAGGGGAACTGCAGGAACTATAAACACACATGGCAATCAAGTAATATTCTCCTAAATGACCAGAGTTAATGAAGAAATTAAGAAAGGAATTGAAAATTTTTTTTGAAACAAATGATAACGGAAATATGACATCCCAAAAACCTGTGGGATACAGGGAAAGCAGTACTAAAAGGGAAGTTTTTAGCTGTAAGCGCCCACATCAAACAAGAAGAAAAACTTCAAATAAGGAACATAACAATGGATCTTAAAGAAAATCAAGAGCAAAGTAAACCCAAAATTAGAATAAAATTAATAATAAAGATCAAAACAAATTAAAATGAAGCAAATAATGCAAAAGATGAAATGAAAGTTGGTTTTTTGAAAAGATAAACCAAATTGACAAATCTTTAGCCAAACTAACTAAAAAAAAGAGAGAAGACTCAACATCAGGTATGAAAAGGAGACACTACAACCAATACCATAGAAACTCAAAGAATTGTTAGTGGCTACTATAAGCACAAAATGCCAATTAATTGACAAAGATAAGCGGATAAATTCCTAAACATACAAAACCTACCAAGACTGAACCAGGAATAAATTAAAAATCTAAAAGCCATAAGAAACAATCTCCCAGCAAAAACACTGGGACCTGATGACTTCATTGCTGAATTTTACCAAACATTTAAAGAATTAATACCAATCCTACTCAAACTATTTTGAAAAATAGAGCAGAAGGGAATACTTCCAAACCCATGTGAAAACAACATTACTCTGATACCAAAATTAAACAAAGACACATCTGAAACAGTAATGGACAGGCCCAGGTTCATGATGAACATTGTTGCAAAAATCCTCAACAAAATACCAAACTGAATTCAATAACACTTTTAAAAGATCATTTATCATGACTAAGAGAAATTTGTCCTAGGGACGCAAGGATGGTTCAACATATGCAAATGAATCAGTATTATACATTATATCAACAGTATGAAGGACAAAAGCCGTATGATGCTAAAAAGTATTTGATAAAATTAAACATCATTTTACAATACAAACCATCAAAAAAAAAAAATTGGATATAGAAGGAACACACCTTAATACCATAAAAGCCATATATGGTGGACCCACAGCTAGTAACATACTGAATGAAGAAAAACTGAAAGTTTTTTCTCTATGCTCTGGAACACAAAAAAATTGCACATATTCACCACTAGTATTCAACACAGAACTAGAAGTCCTAGCTAGAGCAATCAGACAAGAGAAGAAATTAAAGGGCATCTAGATTAGAAAAAAATAAGTCGCATTATCATTTTTTTGTGGATGATATGATTTTATATTTGAACATACCTAAAAGACTACACCAAAAAACTAAAAATGGTAAGCAAATTCAGTAAAGTTTCAGAATACAAAATGAACATACAAAAATCAGTAGCATTTCTATATGCCAATAGCCAAGATTATGAAAAAGCCATAAAAAAAGTAATTCCATTTACAATAGCTAGAAATAAAATATGCAGGAGTAAACTTAACCAAAGAAGTGAAAGATCTATATAATGAAAACTATAAAACATTGATGCAATAAATTAATGAGAACACAAAAATGGAAGGATATTCCATGTTTATGAGTCAGAAGAATCAATATTTGTTAAAATGTCCATATTATCCAAAGCAATCTACAGATTTAATACAATATCTATCAAAATACCAATGACATTCTCTGTAGAAATAAAAAAGTTTACAATTTACATGGATCCACAAAATACCCAGAATAGCCAAAGCTATCCTTAGCAAAAAGAACAAAACTGGAGGAATCACATTACCTGACTTCAAAGTATACTAGAGAGCTATAGCAATGAAAACAACATGGTACTGGCATAAAAACAGACACATAGACCAATAGAACAGAATACAGAGCCCAGAAAAAAAAAATTCATATATCTACAGTGAACTCATTGCTAACTAAGTTGCCAAGAACATACTTTGGGGGGAAAAAAATCTCTTTATTAAATAGTGCTGAGGAAATCAGATATCCATGTGCAGAAGAATGAAACTAGACCCATATCTCTTACCATATACAAAAATCAAGTAAAAATGTTTTAAAGACTTAAATCTAATAAATCATATATAAAACTACTAAAATAAATCATTGGGGAAACTCTTTAGGACACTGGACTGGGCAAAGGTCTTTTGAGTAATACCCAGTAAATATAGACAACCAAAGCAAAAATGAACAAATGGAATCACATCAAGTTAAAAAGCTTCTGCACAGCAAAGTAAACAGTCAACCAAGTGAAGAGACAACCTATAGAGTGGGAGAAAATATTTGCAAACCACCCATCTGAGATTGGTATGTAAGGAGTACTCCTTACAGAGTATGTAAGGAGAACAAACGACTCTAAAGGAAAAAAATAAAATAATCCAATTAACAAATGGGTGAAATATCTGAATAGACATTTTTCAAAGAAGACATAACATGATAAATGGGTATATGAAAAGGTGCTCAGCATCATTAATACAAATACAAATAAAAATTAGAATGAGATATCATCTTAATACAGCTAAAATGGCTTTTATCCAAAAGTCAGGCAATAACAAATGCTGACAAAGACATGGAAAAAACAGAACCCTCATATACTGTTGATGGGAATGTAAATTAGCACAACTATGGAGAACAATTTGGACATTCCTTGAAAAACTAAAAATAGAGCTATCCTATGACCCAGTAATTCCACTGCTTGATATTTACCCAAAAGACTGGAAATCAAGTATGCCAGAGATATTTGCACTCCCATGATTTCTGCAGCAGTATCCATGACAGCCAAGATTTGGAAGCAACCTAAGTGTCCATCAACAGCTGAATGGATTTAGAAAATGGTGGTATATATACAGAATGGAGTATTATTCAGCCATAAAAGAATGAGATCCTGTCATTTACAACAACATGGATGGGTCTGAAGGTCATTATAAGTCAAATAAGCTAAGCACAGAAAGTCAAACATTGTACATTCTCACTTATTTGTGGAATCTAAAAAACAAAACAATTGAACTCATGAATACAGAGTGCAGAAAGATGGTTACCAGATGTTGGGAAGGGTAGTGGGGGGTTGGGGGTGGTAGGTATTTTTAATGGGTACAAGAAATAGCTTATTGTAACATAATGACCTCCAGTTCTATCTATGTTGTTAAAAGTTAAACTCATGGAGATAGAGTAGAAGAATGGTTGCTAGAGTCTGGGAAGGGTAGTGGAGTTTTAGGGAGGAAGTAGTGATGATTAATGGGTAAAAAGCAATAGTTAAAAAGAGTAAACAGTATCTAGTATTTGCTAGCACAATAGGGTGAGTATAGCCAATAATTTATTTGTGCATTTAAAAATAACTAAAAGAGTATAATTAGATTTTTTTTTAACCACACAAAGGATAAGTGCTTAAGGTAATGGATGCCCCATTTATCCTGATGTGATTAGTGCACATTGTATGCCTTTATCAAAATATCTCTTGTACCCCATAAATATGTACACCTACCATGTACCTAGAAATGTTAAAAATTTTTAAAAAATATACAGAGAATTAAAATAATGAAGAATGCACAAGATAGCATAAGAACCCTGAGGGATATGCTGAGAAGTTTCACCATATTTGTAATTGGAGTCTCAGAAAGAGCAGAAATGGTATAGAATATGTGAAAAGATATGGTTTCAATTTCTAAATTATTGGAAAGTTATAAAAACAACAATTTTAGAATAACTGAACCTCAAGCAGGATAAATACAATGAAATTGACCCAACACATCATAATATAAAGCTAAGAATTTTACAAAGCATAAAGAATTTTAAAAAGATAAACAAATCGGGCAGAGAACAAAGATAAAATAAAAGGAGAAACAATTAGAGAACGGGCTTCTCAACGGAAGAAAAAAATACTAAAATAGAAGAGGATTGCATTAGTTATCTATTGGTGCGTAACAAATTACTTTGAAATGAGTGGATTAGAACAACAAAAACTTATTATGCCATAGATCCTATTGGTCAGTAACCTGAAAATAGTGTTCGGGTGGTTCCTCCTCAAGGTCTCTGGTGTCTGGCTTCTCAGAGACAGAAAATGGAAGCCGCCTAGCCAGCCAAGGACTGTCCCCATAACAAGGTCATCATTACTTCCACTGCTTTCATTTTGTCATGGGAGTCACATTGTCAACCCAGATTCCAAAAGGTGGAGAAATAAATGTCTCTGAAGTAGGATTAGGAAGGTTGCACTGCAGAAGGAACATGTGGTTTAGAGATAACACTGTTCTCATCTTTGGGACCATGCACTCTTCTACCCTCACTCTCTGACCACAGCAACCCACATCCCACCCATTTGAAAATTATATTTACCCTTTTTCTGAAAATGTCATCCCATTATGGCTCTGTGGTCACATTTTACTGGCAAGATGCTGTATTTGATGTTGTTTTAAGACTGTTACTTAAACTAAGAATCTTTTGTAATCTGAAGCTAACCCTGGCTCTTTTATGTATCCTCAAATTTCGGCTTGAAAAGTGACCAGTTCCTTCTTTATCTCATCTCTCTATAGCCATACTTCATTATACACCACTAAAAGGAACCAGCTGGCTCTTGCAACATTCTGCTTTAATGTCTACTAAACCAGATCCTCCAGTTGATAGGCTCATTTTTATTTTCTATGTCCCCCTATATCATTGCTATGTAAAAAATTACCTCAAAATTTAGCATCTTAAGATAAAACAACACAAAATTATTATAGTTTCTGAGAATCAAGAATCTGGAATTGCCTTAGATGGATGCTTCTGGCTCAAGATTCTTCATTTATCTGCAATCAAGATGTCAGTGGGGTTTGTGGCCAACTGTCAACACGCCTGAAGCTAGAGAATCAACAATTTAGGTGGCTGAGTCATGTTGCTATTGGCAGAATTCCTCGGTTCTGCAAGGGCTGCTGGGAGGAGGTGTTGGTTTCACAGGGTAGCCAGGGAGTCCTTCCAGCATTAATAGGCATATTTTGACAGAGACTTCTAAAGAGAGGGCAGGTAGGAAGCTGCCGTTTCTTTTATGATCTACTCTTTGAAGTCATACATTTTTATTTCATTTTTTCATTAGCAGCCATCACCGAATTCAGACCACACTCAAGGAGGGAAATTAGATTCCACCTCTTAAAAGGGAGAGTATCAAAGAATTTGTGGAAATATTCTAAAACCACCACATTTCCATTGCAGCATCAGCAATTTTGCTAAGTTTTCTACCACAATATTACACAGTTTATCTTTTCCGCAGCCAGCACTAACACTTTTTTGCATTTTTTCCACTCACAGTCTACTTGGGATCCTTTACTCCTCCACTGAACACATGCTCCCAAATTCAAAGGCACATGCTTTGCATTTCTGTAACAACAAAAAATCCTATCTCTGGTACCAAATTTTGGTTCTGGTATACATTCCTAACAAACCATTCAAAACATTCAGCATGTTAAATAGCAACAATTTATATATGTGTTCATGCTCTGATACAGATATTACGTCAGGGCATGGTGGGATGGTTTATCCCTCTTCCATGAAGTTTGGGCTTCAGCTAACGTGGCTGAAATGACTGAAGATGACTGGCATGGCTTCACTGGGGCCACTTCTTAGAGCTTTAGTTCCAGAGGTCAGCTTGGTTTTTCTGTTCTCTCTGGGGTCTAATAAATTGAAAAAAATCCAAGCTAGCTTCTTTTCCTACTGTGATGCCTGGATTACAACAGCTGAGTAGAGTCAAGCATCTCTTTTTGAATAAGTGGCCTCCCTGAAGAGTGTAGGAGTCTCACAGTAGCTGGAGTTCTTTTATGGCACTGACTTCTTCCAGAAGGAGCATTTTAAGAAATTCAAGTGAAAGTTGCAAGGCTTGGCATGACCTAATCTCGGATGTCACTCAGTATCACTTCTGCTGTGTTCTCTTGATTATACAGGGACAACTCCAATTCACTGTGGAAGGGGCACATAGAAGGAGGAAATGACAAAGAACCTTGATTCATTTGGGGGCCACATATGGAAATTAGCTCCCATGCAGTCCCCTACTAGCTACCTATATGCTCACTGGGTTTTAGAATACACTTTTTTATTCTCTACTCAAACTACTACTGTTTCTACTTCCTGAAACATAATTTTCATCTGAATTAGTGGAGTAAATAAAGTTTATTACAATGAATTTTTGGTTGTAATTAAATTGGGATGGATTTCATAACACATAATGAGACCAAATAAACTAGATAATATCATCTCCATTTCCCCAAACTAATACGTTTGTTTTTTAGCACAAAAAGAGCAATTTTATGGCACTGTTTATTCATTTAAGGTTTCCACACACTGCTCCTTGTGCATTCTTATGTGATCTCAGTGTATAAATTTATTCTCTAAGGATTAGTTACCACTGTTAATCATACAGTTTCTTTTCAATTACAAAAACAAGGGAGAAGGCATTACACTGAGTAGGTAATCAATATGTTTGTTAGTGGTGCTGCTATTTATATAGAAAATTACATATTAACATGCATACATGTACTCAATAAGCATATGCTGAGAATCTATTTCATGCTGGGCTCTGCATAATATTTTTGTGGAAGTGTATGCCCCTGACACAGCTGCATAACCCAACCTCTCTTTTCTCCCCACCATCTTCCTTCCTGACTGCATGGCTCTGAGTACCACTCAGGCTAATTAAAGTTTCAAGAACATTGATAGCCATTTAAATATAGTAATTTTATATATAAAATTATATATTTTCTCTGGCCTTCCTCTGAGAGAGGTAGAAGATGTTTAGATTTTCATGTCAGTTGAATACAGCATATTCCAATTTCCTTCAAAGTAACAACAGCAGCATAAAAGAATAATCTAGTGTGTAGTCTTTAGTAAATCTTTTATTCTTCAATCCTTTTTCTCCCTCACTTACTTCCTCCTTACTTCTTCTTTTACTCCTTTTTTGTATCAAGAAATAAAGAAAAATAATACAGGATTGCCCAAAATATCACTTTCTAATGAAATCCTCTCGGATCACATTTCTGAAACGTCCTATCTTAAAGTCAGTCATGTTGCTGTCTTTGCTTCAGTGCAGTTAACACAATCCATAAGACTTGTTATTATTTTTTTCCTCCCTCTGGAAAACATTACATCAAGGAGAATAAACACATCATGTCTAGTGTGCAGCTGAATCCTTGGTACCTGGCTTAAAGTTAACAATATGTATATATTTTTTGAGACAGGTTCTCAGTCTGTTACCCAGGCTGGAAGTACAGTGGTGCAATTATGGCTCACTGTAGTCTTATCCCCGGAGGCTTAAGGGGTCCTCCCACCTCAGCCTCCCAGACAGCTGAGATTACAGGCATGCCTCACCATGCCTGGTTAATTTTTATTTTTTGTAGAGATGGAGCCCCACTGTGTTGCCCAGGCTGGTCTCAAACTCCTGGGCTCAAGCAATCTTCCTGCTTTGGTCTCCCAAAGTGCTTGGATTACAGGAGTGAGCCACACTACCTGGTCTAAATGAAGATTTGTGGCATAAATTAGTGAAATCAATTATTCCAAATTAACAGAGAAAGTAAGTAATGCAGTATCTATTGCTGGTCACTGTGTTACTTCCCCCAGTATGTGGTTATTTTCCTCTCTTTTGACAACTCCCCTATTTTCATTCAAGTTTCCACAATTCACCTGCACAATATAAACATTTTAGGAGAAATGAATTCTGCTTCTAATTCTAAACCTGAGATATAACCCAGGACAAAAGAATCAGTAGGTTACATTCCTTAGGCTACAGTGAGAAAATAGTTTCAATCCAGTTGAGCCAAGGAGAACATCCAGAAAATGGT